CGCTCTTCTCTCAAAGTGCTCGGCTCAGGTAACTGCTGGTGGCATGAGGTGGCTGGAGCAGCTCCTTGGGCATCAGGTTGGGCCTCTTCCCATGAATGTCAAGAGCAGCAGCATGTGGAAGCAGAAAGGGGGGAGACTGCTATTTGGGGATGGCTATGCAAGCAGGCCCTGGGAAACTGTGTCTTTGACCTGATCTTTCAGCTCCGTCCCCTTGTCTTTCCCCTTGCAGTGGGGGAACCCATCAACAAGGAGGCATGGGAGTGGTACTTCCGTGTGGTCGGCGAGACACGGTGCCCAGTAGTGGACACGTGGTGGCAAACTGGTGAGATGCGTACAACCCCTCATTCCAGCTTCTGCTCTCCCAGGCTTTTGGAGTAACCTGCTGCTTTGCTGGCCAAGCAGGAACAGTTAGTGACACTCTCGTATGAGTAATGCCATAAGGAGCCATGGGCACCAAAATGTTAGAGAGAGAAACGGCCTTTAAAGCTAACCCAGAGAAACACAGGGGAGTTGATGGTAGGGAGCAGATCTCTGTTGAACTAAATGAGCAGGATCATCCTTCTGCAAAGAGCCTTCACCAGCTCTCTGGCAAACCCAGCCTGTGGTCCGGGCAGGGTACAGTGAGGGCCAGGGCAAAGGCTGTTGGCCAAGCAGTGCTACCTGGCTTTCCTCTTGTCCCTGCCTTTGATAAGCATTAGTTTCTTTTGCTTCAGAAACCGGAGGCATCTGTATCTCACCCCGTCCTTCCAATCCTGGAGCTGAAATCCTTCCGGGCATGGCTATGAGACCCTTTTTTGGGATCAGGCCCTCCCTCATGGATGACAAGGTACATTTATAACCTGCAGCCCAGGCACTGGCTCAGCCTGCTTTTCCCCAGGTGCTTGCAGCATGTACTTGCTGACAGGAGTGGAGATCTGTAAGTGTGTCTTTCCTGCTCACCTCTGCTAGATGGCAACTTTCTTTACTGGAAAGAGACTAACAATGAAGCTGTTTTTCCAACTAGTGCAGAAGTTGAGTTGCTTCCTAGCTTGGTTCGTCCTGACAAGACAGGCTGTGCTTGGGCTCCCTGGCACATGTCCTTTCAAGGTGAGGTAGCTGGGCAGGGACAGCCAACCTCCCTGGAGGGGCCCTGTGTCCTACCACAGTAGGCAGCTGGTTGCAGACACCTACTGGGAGGGACTGAGCCTGTCCCATTGGAGTTGGGGACACAGGACTCTCCTCACTGCCTTCCCTGACATTTCTGTCTTAGGGCTGTTAAATAGGCAATGACTAAACATCCCAAATACTGCCAGCTATGGTTACTAAAAGGTAACTATTTTACAGGGAAATGTCCTTCTGGAAAACAATGTTTCTGGAGCCCTTTGCATCTCACAAGCCTGGCCAGGTATGGCACGAACCATTTACAATGACCACATGAGATTTCTGGAAACCTATCTGACTCCTTATCCAGGTAAGGAAAACACGTGGCAGGTCACTGCAGAGATGTTTGGTTAGGTCTGCCTGCTGGTTTTCGGCACAAAGGCAGGACTCAGGAAAGCTGGTACTGCTGTTTTATTCTTCCACAGACTCTCCACAGTGTTGAGGCCCTTCTCCCCATGCCTGATACCTCAGCACTGCCCTGGGAACGGGTCTCCCTTACCGTTCACATTGGATCACATGTGGCTTTAGAGCAGTGTGTTTGTCCTTCTGCCCCGAGTCCCCTCAAGCACAGAGAGGACTATTGGTGCATCTCTTACAGACCCTGTCAGCTTCTGTCACTCATCCAGAGGCAATAAGCAGGCCCAAGAGTGTGTGTGTGTCTTGATGTGAAGCAAAGGGGTGAAGCAGCAGGACCACAGGCAGTGGCACTGGAGCAAAGTGCTGCTGGCTTGTGGGGATGAGGCAGGCCAGCCATTAGCCAGCACACAGCATAATGAGGGAAGGAGCCTGATGATGGAGCAGGTACCAACAGAGGCAGAAGGCTAACAAGGAAGGGAGGCACCTTCACCCCATAGCAGTTGAGGAAGGAGCAAAGTACATGAGCCCTGGTGCCAACGGGGAGAGAGGAAAGGGGGTGAGGTGAGGGCATGGGCAGCGAGCAGCTCACGTGCTTACTGCAACAAGTGACCACGGCACAATTCTGGCCACTGCAGGATTTTTCTTCACCGGGGATGGTGTGTATCGTACCAGTGAGGGCTACTACCAGCTGACAGGACGGCTGGACGACATCATTAACATCAGCGGGCACCGGCTGGGCACAGCGGAAGTAGAGGATGTTGTGGTAAGGGGGTGGGGGGGCATAAAGGGGGCAGAGAAGGCACACTGGTGGTGCTCAGGGAAGCCTCTTTGAAATACCCACAGAAATACACTGCTGCTGTAGCAGCAGGGTACAGTGCTGGACCACAGCGTGCCTGGGGGAACAGCTTCCCACCCTCTCCCCTCCCTTCTTGCTCTTCGCAGCAAGCGAGGAACAAAGCCTGATAAGGCTGATGCTGTAAGTGGGTGAATCCCGAAGTGGCAGCTGGGCACGTTAAGGAGGAGCATCCATGGGCCAGTAAAGATTGTGGGACCTGGTGGAGCAACCTGAAGGCACAGAACAGGGTCTAGAAGGTGCAAGCCTAAAGCAGCCAGGGGCAGGGGAAAGACTTATGTTTGCAGACAGACTTGCTGAAGCAAGGAGGAAAAAGGGCAGAGGCCATGTGAAGCCTTTCCTTATCTCTCTGCGTTTCCATGGACTGTAGCAGCCAAGCCAGGCCAGGGCAGCTCCCATGTGGCAGCCAGCCTGCCGAAAGCATTGAGCCAAATCCCAGCCCTGCTCTCTTCCAGAATCACCACGTGGCAGTGGCGGAGTCTGCTGTCATCAGCTACCCACATGAAGTCAAGGGAGAAGGTAAGATGCCTACTTTCCTGTCCCTGAAACATCTCTCTTGGGGCTATAGCAGTGCAGTGGGAAGTGGCACTGTCACACCAACCCCTGTGAGCAACACTGTGCCAACACCAGAATGTCATTGGGGATCTTGGCACAGCCATGACAACCTACACGAGACACCAGCTGGACTTTGTATAAGGCAGCAGCAGCACCATGGCCTAAAGCACTTACAGCTCAGGCTACAGAGCATGCCCTGAGGCTACCAACAGAGGGACCTCTCCCAGCACTAGGTCCAGACTGGCTCTCAGGACCATGCTGCACTCCGTGCTCAGCAACCTGGTGGTCCTTCTGCCAGGAGCCTACGTGTTTGTTGTGCTGAAGAAGGACAGTGGCTACACACAGGAGACTCTCACTGCTGAGCTACGGGAGCTGATCTCAAAGAAGATCGCTAAGTACGCAGCTCCAGAGCATGTTCAGGTAACGTGTGCAGGCTGGTCCAACACCCATCCCAGCAGCCTGGACAACCCCTTTCCTTTAGCCCTAGCTCTGCTCCTCCCTGTCACAGATCACACACCGGCTGCCGAAGACACGTTCGGGGAAGATTATGCGTCGGGTGCTAAGGAAAATCGTGGAGGACAAGGCCAGTGAGCTCGGGGACCTAACCACCCTGGACGACCATGAAGCTGTGCAGCAGATCATAGAGGGACACAAGCGCCTGGTGGAGGGGCAGAAGAGCTGCTAGTTTGACTCTGCCAGCAGCCACCTCCTGCTCCTCCACTGCAGAACTGGGGCCACATCCAGCAATGTCACTAAGAACTGGTCGCCAGTAAGTTCTTTGAGACTGTACCTCCACTGCAGTCTCAGAGTGACATTTCCACGACACAGAGACCCTCAAAACTTCTCTCCACACACCTATGGGAGGCAGGGGAGAGAACATGACTCATCATAGGCAGAAGAGTAAAGGGAAGCGAGCTGTTTCCTTCAGTAAAAACAGAGGGCCAAAAGCCCTCCTTGGGGCTCCTTGCGCCTTGCAGTAGCTGTGGAGGTAGCAGCAAGGCAGGATGCTGAGCCCTGGACAGGTATATTACTCCCGCCCCTGCTCTGCTCTTCAGCAATAGTCTAGTCCAAGACCATTGCCAATATACAAGCATCTCCTTCAAACCAAACCCCAAAGGGAAAAGATGCAGCAGTCTGGTTAACAAATACTGACTCTTCTCCATAAACATTGTTGGAAAACAAGCCCCAGATTTTAATATAAAAATGTTTCTTTGACCTGTAACCCTGTGTTATAAGGAGAGCAGAGATATGCCCCTTCTCTGTGCCAGCATTTTCCTCCCTTTCCAGTGCATCCCTTGACACCTGCTGGGGAGCACAACCCTCAACAGACCAACAGGTACAGAAGTTTGTTCTGCAGAGCTGCGTATCAAAGAGAAATCCCAACGAGGCACAGAGGCCAGAACAGGAGGCTGCATCCTAGCTTCGCACCACTGCATCCTGGACTTGTGGAGGTTCCTCTGGCCATTGCTTCTACAAGCCCCATGACACAGCATCTTCTCTTTGGGCAGCCTACCATTCCCTTTCCCCCATGAGAGGTGGGTAAGCAGGAGAAGGGAGCTGGGAGAAGGATGGCATAGATATGTCTGCTACTGGCAAAACCCCACAGACTCGTCTCTGTGTCCATCAGCAAAATCCAGAACTGGTCTTGCACTGGATGAATCCCTTGTTGACAGTTGCTAGCTCAGCAGCTCCGTGTCTGCTATTCAGAGCTCTCCCATGGGTGTGCAGGTTCTGTGGCTGGCCAGACAAGGGCATGTTTTTCAGCATCCTTCCCCAGCTTCATCTTCTCGCATCGAGTGAGCTCCCATCTTCCCTCTCCATGAAGTTTCAAAATCCAGCTATGGAACTGCAATTTAATAACACAACGATTGAGGGGTATCTCTACAAGGGCATGTCCTCCCACAGTGAGGCTCTCCAGCCTCAGTCACTCCCCTCTGCTCACCAGGGACCCTCTCTACCTCCCCTGTCTTGCCACCACCAGGGAGGTGTGGAGCACTGTCTCCCCATCTCACCTTTTCCAGGCTGGCCCTGTGTCCCACGCTGATCAGTGTCATGCCCAGCTGAAGGCACACGCGGTACAGTTCATGCTCCACCTCTTCTGTCAGGGCACTGGTGGCTTCATCTAGTACTGAGAGAAAAGTTGTAAGCCCCACAAATCCTCTCCTGCCCAGTCATCTCCCCCTAGGCAAAAGAGCAACTGCCCAGAACATTTCACATATTAACCAGAGTTCACCAAAAGCATCTGCAGAGGGCAAGTGAGGAAAGGCCTAAGGACTCCAATTTTCCTCTGGCACAGCTGTGTCAATCAACTGGGAAAGCTGTGCTTCCCCACAAGCCCTCACATTCACCCGAACACCACCATTCACCTCATTCCTCTCCCTCAACAGTTGTCAGCCACTGCCTCATCCCCACTGTCATGAAAGCCAAGACACGACCTTCTCAAGGCAGGCTGTGTGCCAGAACACCATGCTGCACAGCAGCCTGTGCACCGCTCCGGGCCAGATCCCACCTGGGTCATCCAGGACAGCATGAGGCACCTTCCTGTCAGTTAAGGGTAAATACTACAGATCTGGAGCAGATAAATTCCATTTGTTTTACATCATCTCTTCAGCTTTTAATTTGCAAGCCACAAGTTCCTTCTGCCCAGACAACACTGAGCTGTGCTGCGGGATTCAGGGGAAGAGAGGTACTTATGTGTGGCTACATCCTACCAACACCAGCTCTGTCCACTAACACCCACCCTGGCCCTCAGAACAAGTCCTCCAACAGCCCCCCCCAGCCTCCAGCAGTCACTAGCAATCTAGGCGTGCAAAGGAATTAGCCTCATCTGCTAATGGGAGCTGCTTCTGTCATCTCTCAAGACTGTTTCTCCCACTGCTCCTCATCTTATTTTGCTGCATTACAGCTAAATTTCCCACACTGCTTCCACAACCCTACAGAGGTTCATGAGTTTCAGATACAGCAGCTGACACTACGCTCCCTAGCATGCACGCTTCTTTACGTGGCAACTGGTAAGCATGCTGAGAAGGGGCTTCTTCAGCTGCCATTGGACCTGGACCAAGAACATTAATCTCTAGCTCCCTAAGAAGAGAACGTCTTATATACAGCCTCTTGATTTACCACCCTCCACACAGATAATGAAATGTTTTCACCCCCGAATCCTCTGCATGTTATGCTGCTAAAATAATGGCCAAGATGAAGCATGTTCCTATCAAAGAAGAGATTTCATGAGCTGTTTCTGTACCAGCTTCTCTTTACACCAAAAGCCCTGCCTTTTCTTCCCTCCCCCCCCCCCCCCCCCTTTTTTCTTTCACAGTCACTCACTTACCTGCATATTTTGGCTGGAGGTAGAAGAGCCGTGCAAACGAGAGCCTCTGCATCTCCCCTGGGGACAGGATGTCATACCTGCAGCAGGGTTGAGATTCAAAATCTCCCTCAACAAAAAGAGCTCGTTTACTGAAGGGCTTATGATTGCTGACATCAGAGACCTCAGCAAACAACTCTCCCTATGTGTCCCCGGTGCCCCTCTCCACACTGGGACTGGCTCTGCACCCCTGTGCACAGACAGCTGCCTGCAGAACAGCATGGCTGGTGATCATTGGCATTGATCCTTGGGGCATGAAGGCTGTGCCCCTGTATACTGCTCATGTCCCACAGGACACAGGTGTTCATCAGTCCAGCAGCAATGTGCATCTGCTTAGAAGCGTTCCCCACCCAAAGCGATCACCCAAATTCACACAGATGGCAAGCTCCCTTACCAGTTCCAGTCCACCTGCTCGTCCAGTCCTCCAGCCCTCGCCAGCAAATCAGTCTGCAGAGAGCACAGCAGACTTGTGAATGCAGCCCCCAGCTCTGTCAGCCCCCAGCCCTGAGCATAACCAGCCCCTTCCTGCTACTCTCTCCTTGCCCACCTGTATCCCTCCTCCTCTGCCTGTGCTATGCACAGCTCTGTCCCAGCTTCAGTGTCCCTGCATGTGTCCAGCACACAGTCATGCTGTGCTGCCACAAAATCTCATCCCTTTTTCCCTTGCTGATAGCACCAGGCAAGAACGCAGCAGTGCTACTGGGGACTTACCAGCCCAGCCAGCTCCAGGAATCGCACAATTCTCTCATCATCTGCAGACCCTAGGCGAGAAAGCAACAAAACATAAGCAGAGGCAATGTGTGCTGAGGCCATAGCTGCAAGGAGGAATCGGTGGGGCAGGAGGGAAGGTTTGGAGGATCTCCTGAAGTCCAGTGTAGATGACTCAACCACTTAACTATACCAGGTCCTGAGCTTTGGCACAGAGAACTTCCAAAGACTGACCTTCCTTAAAAATGTTAACCATGCCTGTGAGCAGCATGCCAGAAGGTAGCTGGACTCGACAGATACACCTGAGACTTGGCTCAGTTCATGGTCACAGACACAGACAGAACACAAGGATGCAGCCTTCATTTGCCAAGGCCCTGCCCACCAGCTGCTCTCTTACGGCTGACTGCCCACTGTGCACTGCAGGTGGTGGAGTCATGGGAGCAGGACTCGGGGAACAGCCAGCAAAAGGACCTTATGTGGGATGGGAAAAACTTCAGGGTAAACCAGCTGTGGAGCAGAACATACGCTTGAGCTGGTACAGTCAGCAGCTGTGGAAGCGGAGCAGAAGGGCTATGCATCTGCCATGGACCTCTCTGAAGCTGCTGAAAAGCCACAATGGTAGCTGATGGCTGCGGTTACTCTCTGCAAGACTATGAGTCACAAGTGTTTGAAAGCAGCATGTAACACTGCTTCACTCAGACAGAAACTTAAACCTGGACATCTGAAAGCTGCAGTGGACCACATGTGGTCTGGCTTAGGAAAAGGGGGAAAGAAAAGATCCATGTAGTCTGACCTCAACAGCACTCAACACATCATTTGAAAAAGAGGAACAGTGAAAGATGGAGGTGGATGGAAAACGAGATGAAGGAAAACATGGCTTGCCCAAAGGCAGGTTGTGCCAGACCGATCAGATGTATCCCAACAGCAAGGTGCCCCAATATATATCACGTGTTGAGCACAACATGCAGAGCATGGCAACCTTGTCCTCATTGCATCAAGAGAATATCTTCTTATCAAGATAATATGTTTCCTCCCAAAAGGGAGGAAACACAGAGCCAACCTTAACCTACACTAAGGTAAATCTTCCAGGGAAAAGCAGAGAGCAACAAAAGCAAAATGGATGAGCGCTCCTGATGGGGCATGGTAGGGGAGAAGATGCACTGGGTACAGAACAAGGAGCTGACAACACAGGGTTGGCTAATTGCTCTAATGAATTTACACATACCTGAAACTGGATAGATCTCCTTCAGGGGATAGATCACCTGTTTTAACAGAGCAAAAGAAGCCAGGTCAGAGGGAGCTGGACACAGTCCATCAGAGATGCAATGTCAGTGGCATGAATTCAGGCACGAGGGAAGGAGCAGCCACAGGGATCCTCCCTCTTGCAGGCCTTTCTGTAGCACACAGGTTCGCAGGGCACGACCACAGCTGGGAGCAGGACCAGAGCAGAGGCAGCCCCTGGGCTCACCTGCTCACGCAGGCTTCCATCGGTGAAGAAGGGTCGCTGCGGCAGGAACACCACTCCCCGGGGGCCAAAGCAGGTCAGCATCTTGATGCTCCCTGCACAGAGACACACTCATGCCAAGCCTGCAGCGCCAGCCAGCAACTCCCCACCTCCCCCTGTGCAGTCCGTCCCCGTGAAGTAGCCAACAAATCCCTGAAAAGGTATACTTGCAACACAGCACAAAGCAATGAGAGCCGGAGCTGGCCCCAATGCATCAGGGACACATTCACCATCACAAGGTGGCACTGGCCTCACAACCCCACACTGTCCCCTTCCTAACTCAGGGCAGCCCTGGTTGAGAAAGAGAAGGCTGTGGCAAGCAGCAATCCTTACCCCGCGTGGTCTCCCAGAGTCCCCCAAGGACCCTCAGGAGAGATGTCTTCCCTGTGCCAGTGTTCCCCACAATCATCACACTGTTCCCTTGTGAGATCCTGAGGCTCAAGTCCTTGATGAGTAGCTTGCCAGTGGATGGCACCGAGAGCGTCACTCGCTCCAGAAGGAAAGCTGTGTCCCTTGGCACAGGGTCCTCCCCAGAACGGCTGCTGGGCCACCACCAAGACAAAGGAGGAGAGATGTGGGGGTGAGAGATCATGCTGAAACTGGCAAAGATCAGGCACCTTAGACCTCCTGTGCCTTTGTGACAGCAGCCCTGCCCCACGTGCCCCGGGAATGACAAATCAGCGAGCACCGCCTGCTCCAGCCAACTGCAGGCAACAGGCTGTGACACCAAGGGCCACCTTCATCCCGTGACAGCCCCTCACTCTGGCACTTAAGCTGCAAGCCCACCAGTTGCTGAGAGGACGCTCACCTGTCCAAATCCCAGCTGGCTTTGGCTTCTGAGTAGTTATCATTTTTTTTCCTGCCAAGGCTCAGCAAGGTCTCCTGCAGTTCACCAATCCTAGAAAAACAAGAGCTTGCATGAATGCCGGGAACAACACCAGCAGCCTCCTTGCAATATCCAAACTTGTCCATGCTTGCTCACAAGCAACTGTTTCTTATTTATTTAGCACAGGCCTGGGCAGAGTCTTGTCCCACACTTTCCTTTCGTGTGGAGAAACTCACCTGTGTGTGTAGCCAGCAACATCGGTCACGGTGCTGGATAGATCTATGAGCTGGCTGAAGCAGCCGATGAGGTAGATGGAAACAAAGGCATTCTGGGGAGAAATCACACATCAGACCAAGAGTCAGTGCTGAGCTGGGGCACTGCCCCTTCCTCCATGGCTGCGAGGAGGCAGCCAAAGAGTCTAGACATTTGGCCACATCAGCAGTCCCAGCAAGACAAAGGAGGGGTGGAAAAGTCACCCAGGGTGGCAGGAGTGAAGATGATGACCGTATTTGGATGGAGCAGGGCTCCCCTGCTCCGTACAGCAGTTTCTGCCACTTGGATACATCTTCTGCCACCCAGGGATGGTGTTTGCAGAGCGCCTGCTGGCCAGCCCAGAGCCTAGCACGCTTGCCCCATCTAAGTCATGCAGATCCATGCCACCAGCCCTGCCTCAGCACTGTATCTGGCTCAGAGCAGGGTATCTCAGCCTGCAGTGCCCATTTAGCTATTTTTAGCTCTGCATTCTCTATCACAGGCCAGCTTTGAGTATCTGAGAACAAGTCAAGTCAGGAATGCAAATGCAAGCCAGCTCAGCCTCACAGGTGACCAGGGTCACCATGGGCAGCAGCCCAGGGCATAACCTGGACCTGCAGCACTGCGTGGGCCCAATCCCCACCCACACTGCTGAAAGCCAGAGGCTTTCTGACCTCCTGTTTTTCTTAGACCCAGAGGTCTGAGCTAGGAAACACATCGATGTGCCCTTGACAGCTCTCACCCCCAAGTTAATCATATACCAGCTGGCTCCAAGCTCCCATTTCCATGCCACCATGAACAGGGACAGTCTAACCTGAAGGTCAATTGCTGCAGGTTATCCAGCCCCGATGTCACCAGCCCCACACGAAACCTCCATCCTCAGTGACCGCTCACCCTCCACAACGGGGTAGGGCAGATCGCCCTTCGCTCACCTTGCTGACGAGGGCGCTGAGCTCTGTCGGACTCAAGTCACCGTAGACTCCAGAAAAGATGGGAATGGCAATGACCACATAGCTCAGGATGCTGCCCAGGTAGTCAAAGGTGTTGATCCCAACTGGGCAGAAGCACAATGAGAGAAGACAGTGAGTTAGGGTGGGAACCACTGTCCCAGCCAGGCTCAAGTGCAGCCCATGAGCCCAGTCTGAGAAAGACCCATGGTCTTGCCTCAGCCCTTCACAATGCACCAGAGCAGAAGAACCCATTCTGCAGGACAGCACAAGCGCCAGGGTGAAAATCCATTTGCCGAACAAAGAGCACTTTGGGGCAGGCCCCTGAGTAGAGAAACATCATGCAGACACACAGCTCAGGAACCACCATAGGGCAAAAGCCTCGTTGTTTCTATTCTTCAGGGGCCTGGCTGACCCACAAGAAACAGGAGGGAGGGCAAAAACGATGCTCTGGGGCTGTGAAGTCTGTCTTGGAGCACAGGACAGGCAGAAAGACTTAAGACCACAAACTCCCACAGAGACACCTGCATTTAGGGCTCTCCCGCCCTTACGTTGCTCAGAAGCTCACTATGCTGGTGAGACAAGGAAAAGCTGTCTTTAAAGAGGTCATTTAACTCCCAAACCTGGACCCAGTGACAATGGGAGAAAGGAGATTTTCAGGGGACAGCTATGCTCAAGGGATAAGCTATACAGGAAAGAAGTTTCCACAGCTCCCAACCACATATACAGATTCTTCTCCTCCAAAGCTCAAGCCCTTCCCCCTCTTCCCAGCCATTGAACACTTGCTCCACAAATAGCATGGATTCCTGCAGATTCACCTTTTGGGGCTTGTGTTCTCTGACTCTGACCTAGTTGGGTCCTCCACAACCTTGCTCTCCAAGAGGCTTTTTTTCACAACAGGATTCCAATTTAGGACTGCAGGAGGCACCCTCTGTTCACCCTCAGGGCTTTCATGCACCAGCAAGAGGTGGCAGAGAAAAACCCAGCACTGCTGCTCTAGCAGGAGGGTTCCCAAGCCTGCGGGCTGCAGCAATGGAGCTACCGCATGCCCCACTTCACCCCGCAAATTCCTCACTCACTGTATAGCCACAGCTCCTTGCCTATCAGCTCCCTCTGGGTCTGCAGCAGGCTCTGCAGCCTCCGGTCCGTGCGCATGTGCTCCACTCGCCCAGCCCTGTAAAACAAGATTGCAACATGCCACAGACATCCCAGGAGCACTGCAACGAAGTCCAAGCATGGGCTTTAGGACTGAAGCTTGGAAAGGGTCTGGCACCTCAGCCTCCAAGCAAAAAGCTCTTTGTTGAGAAGGAACTGAACAGCCAAGAGCACCTTCCTGAAGAGCTTCACCAAAACACTCTGGCTGAAACTAGCAGCCCTGCAAATTTCTCCCGGAGCCTGTGGATGCTGCTGTTGCATACAGAAGATGAGGCAAGGCCAGACACTATCAGCGAGGCCCCAGCCTGGAGCAATGCACACACAAGGTCATACACACTCTCCAAGCAGAGCCAGGCTGGAAAAGAGGGACAGCACTGCTACACAGCTGAAACCAGAAAGGAGAGGACAGAGGCGAGGTGACAGCAAGCCAACACCACCTGCACAGTCAGCAGCCCCAGTCTGCCTCTTCCCATTCCCCACCCTGCAGGACCGGGACACAGACAAGCCCCGAGCAGTGCAGCCCCCAGTGTGGGTGAGCCCAGCCCCACAGCCCCCCTTTTCCCAGGGGTATCTCCGCAGGCAGCAGGGGGTCGTCTACCACCCGAGCTAGTGGTGATGCTCCCACAGCCAGGCTGAGGCAGTAGCAAGGAGGCACATCTCAGCTCTAAACCACCACCTTCAGCAAGCGTGGCAGCTCCTTCTGCTCCTTTGCAAGGGCTGGGCTGCCCTCAGGTGGCAAAATGCAGAGAACGCTTCACGTCTCGCTCCAGAGTCCCACCTGCCACAGCAGCTATTGCCTCTGCCACCCAACACATGCTTGTGCCCAGCACACACCCACGCTCCCACCACGGTCCATGCAATGGGGGAGTCACTAGGGCCCAAGCAGATAGGGCCAGGAGCTGCACAAAAAAAAAAAAAAAAATACAAATTAAGATTTTTGAAGAGTCTCAGTTCTAAAGATTCTCAGTTCTTAGAAAAATACATTTTCTTCCTCAGAAATACCTCCAGTTAGAATTCAGTTTGGCATTACTGCCCTACAACCCATCTCAGGTAACTACTGAGCTGCAATCTTTGCTGCTTAGTATTCTGAAAGGACAAAGCCTTGGACACAAGGAGGTAAAGGCAAGGAAGGCACCGGGGACCAGAGATATTATTTCTTCTGCAGATGAGGAGAGATTGCTGTATTGGTTTTGGCTTTTCCTCCCATTCAGTTCACTTTTAAAGTAAGTTTGCCAAAGGCTTAGAAAACAAAGAAGTGAAAAGGTGACAGTGCTCAGGTTTTGTTTCTTCGTTTACCAAAACAATGGTGAGGCAGGTGCAAGAGGACAAGATCTAACAGCTTCCACAAGCTAGAGAAGTCCAGCAATCAAAACCAGTCACTCACCACACGCTCCTCCTCTTGCAGGATTCTAGGAATTCAACTTTAAAAAAATTCCTTTATTTTTAATTAAGGTTAATATCATGAAAATGCCTGGGTTTGTGCAACTCAATTAAATTCTAGTTTCCCACCAAGTGAAGCTTTTCTATTAATGAACTGTATTGAAGTAAGACACTCCATTTTCTGGTATAATAATTCACTTTCCATTTTCTACTTAGTAATAGAATAAAAAACTTCAAAATTGCAAGGAAAAGTACTGCAGCTTAAATGAGGGCACATAATCACAGTATCTTCTCCATTAGGAAAAATTATCATCAACCAATAAGAATCAACCAGTCCACAAAGAAATAAATTTGCCAATGTAAACCACAATTGATTTCAGTTATTTAAATCACAGTTTCTTGTCTGTCAATATAAATCCTTATGAAATTGGTGATTTTGAATCAAACCACTTTGGGGACAACACTACAACACTTGAAATGCTCAGTCACTACAGCATGAAGGAGCCAAATACAGATGACAGGCAGGGGAGACCAGAAACAGGACAGCTGTTCCTTGCTTAAATTCCTGGAAACAGCACGAGTTCACAATCAGAGGGCAAAGGCGGACACATAAAAAGAGAGGAGCAACGACCTCCTGTCACTGACCAGGCACCTCAACACAAGCTACAGTAAAACCATGGCCCTCTTCCCGGTTTCTAGCCATTTCCGTGAAACACCTTAAAGGCTTCAAGCAGCAGTTCAACAGATTTCAGGGCATCACTAAGCGGTGAGGTGCTGCCGGGCTCCCGACTGCGTGCTCAGCTCTGGAGTAAATGGCACTGAGCAAATTCAGAGAGCAGCAGTACGGTGTTGGCAGGGTCAGGGCACAGGCTGACCTAGAGGAGCAAGCAGAGGTAAGGAGGCCAGGCAACAGCTAGCACACCCACAGGAGACACGCAGGTGAGCAGCAGCAGGATGGGGCCAGAAGCAACCTGTAACAAGTCCCTAGGGGAACATCCTGACAAGATGCAATGAGACCTCGAGCAATCTTCCAGGTGAGGACCTGGCAAAACATCAGCAATGGTCTCTAAGCTAGTACCAAATCTGTACCAGGCCTCTGGGGATGTTAGAAGGGAGGCAGAGAAAAAATAGTTCACTCCACTTGCTGTGGAGTACTTCTGGCGGAAGATGTGCAGAATGCAAAAGAGAACAGTGTCAGGGCTGTATGACACTGCAGCGGGATGGAGGGGACAGAAAGCTCCGGCTGCAGCAAGAGGACTTGGGACTCCTTTGGGATACATGAATACAACAAGGATGCTCCGAGCTGGAAGGATCCTTACAAGGATGTAAAGAAATGAACACTACTAACCTGTAGAAAGCAGCTGGTTCTGCATTGACGCGAATCTGCATGTGCTTGAACCTGGACAACCCAGAAAAACATCATCAGGATTGTGCACAAATGCCCAGTAAATTCTGTAGCCAACATCTTTGCTAGAGGAAACTTGTCTTGCATCTGTCAGAGCACTGACCTGAGGCATCTCTTGACAGAAATACTCAACAGGCTCAAAAAGGCACCAGAGACCAAGGCTTAGCACAAAGTGACATCATTCTCGGCCAGCTCAGTGGCACATTTGTTTGGTATCCCACTCTCTGTGGACATCTTCTCAGCCCTTGGGCCTTCTGTTTGCTAGCCCAGCATCTCCACTATACAGAATCACCACAACCAACTGCCCTGGTCTGGGCTCCCTGTGCCACACCAGCTTCTCCTGCTGTCCCTGGATACCCTGAACCCCAGGGAAAGCTGCAAAGCCACCGCCACACACCTGGCCAACCCTGCAGCAGAAGGGGAGGTGATGACTTACAGAGCATATGGAAAGACTGTGATGGTTTTGGCACTTCATGAAGGTGGTGGTGAAGCAGAAACCTGATTTCTGTCAGTAGATGCAGTTGACTGAACTGCAGGAAGTTTCATGTGTGGCTTTCTTCTACACATCCAATGCCCTAGCAGAGGCACCAGCAACAGCAATGACCAGGCAAGCAGCCTGGAGGCTGAACCTGGAGACTGAACCAGGACTGAACCACAGGCACTGCCTGCCATGACACAGGGCAGTGAAAGGGGTGGCGGGGGCTCAGTGCATGGACTTTGGGGCACCACTGTGCAGGTAGGTTTCTCTGAGTGTGGGGAAAGTCAAGGACAAGAGATGTAGCTGCATACATGGCACCGAATGGGGACAAAAATGCAGCTTTCGCAGGAATTGCCAAGAGGCAGTGAAAATGCTGCTCTGCTGGGACTCACCTGAAATCCCCCTCCAGTTTTTCCTGCTGCACAAGTTTAGACACAATTGGGCTCATCAATACTTTGTTGACAATCGTCCCGATGATGAAATACCCAAAGATGCTCACCGGGCCTAGCCAGCCTGTGCTACAGAGGAGGAGAAAGAGAGATCAGCTAATAATTGAAGCAAAAGGACACCGCATCATCCTTGGTCTCAAGCAGTCAGAGCATTCAACTGTTACCCCTCTTGGCCTTCACAGAGGTTTGGGGGCCAGCACTGCACACATCGGCATCTCAAAGGGAGAATTGCCTTTGCAGTGCAGAGACCACTCACCCACACATACAAGAGTCCACCTGGGGAGTAGTAATGTGGGTGCCAGGCTCCAAAACAAGCCTAGGAAAGAGGCATGGAAGCAGGGCCGGGATGGGTCCTTACCTGTGGAAGCACTGGTACGTGTAGTAGGCCAGCGTGAAGGGCGAGATGATGAGCTTGCTGGCCATGGAGCTGAGCTGCCTGCAGAACCTCTCCACATCCTGGCTGATGCGCTGGTCCCTGCTCAACACAAAGAACCATTGACACTGTTAAAGCCCAGAAGCAAGAACCAGTACTAACTCCCTAATAAGGCATAAGCCAGGCTGTTTCACTGCCTGAACTTCAGACAGGGTGCAGGTGAACAACCCTGCCTGAGAGGGACCTGCAGCTGTGACTCCTGTTCCCCCGTGGGAGACAATTTCCACGGCCCAGCAGCACCCACCCAAGGGCCTTCCTGGCACCCAAGAAGAACAGCTCCTGCTGTTACTTTCACCTTGTTCCTCAGATTAACCCCTTGTTCTACTTTTAACAACATTATCCCACTCTGTGCTAAAGGTCTCTGCATCACAGTTCTTTACTCCTCTCCTGGACCCACCCCTGTATTACCAAAAAGTACTGACTCTCTCCCAAACAGTCAATACTGCTGCTGTCTCAGGCACCAGAACTACCAGGACTGGCTAGGTCACAGGCCAGGCCTTCACTAGCTGTTGGATATTTGCAAATGCTTCCATCAAAGCCACCCTTCCACAGTAGCTGGTCCTTTTGCTCTACACGGAGTGCCCCCTGGTCCCTTTGCTGCAAGGAAGAAAGTGCTTCCACCCACCCCCATCCCACAAGAGCAGGCAGCAGTACACCAAGTCTCCTCACCCTATCAGCAGCAGGCACATGGGTGACAGACCCTAAAGTCCCATCCACCCCACTGCTGAGCAGCAGTTGCACTTGGGGTAACTAGAAAGGATTTCAGCATAATTACTCCCTCAGCACCTCAACTGTTGAGAGCACATGGATGAGGGCTTCAGTCTGATGCACTAAGCACAGGTGGAAAGGCCATGACGGTGAATGCTGGAGTCCAGAATGAAGAGCAAGGCTGGACTCCTGCTTAAACATCAGTGCAGATATAACCACAAGGACATTCATCTCTCAACTCTTCTGCGGTCCTGGAACAGCAATGGCTTTAATTTTGGGGCAGCTCTCACCCTGACTGACCTTACAGTCATCATTTTTCCTTTTCCTTATACTGTAATTATTCCCATAAAGTTATAATTTAAGTTGTGCTATAGACGCATAGCAGGATATTGCTTTTATGAGCCATTAAGCAACATGCAATGATAACATAGAAATATCAACTCAAATGCCCTGCTCGGAGCTGCAAGTGTTTGTATGCCACTCAGAGCCTACTCTTCATTCCTTCTAAACGGGTAACACCATGCATCTAACACTCAGTTTGGTTTGCACTGCATAATTAGAAGTCACTTTGTTGCTCTAGTTCACTCTAAGTACCCAATGCAGGGAAAAAATTCTCATCAAGGAATCGCAAGATGAAGAGAATTTTTGTAGTGGCACCAAAAAAACCCACACTAAATAAGATTGTATGTTTGAGCAGAAGCAAGGTGGTAATGAAAAATGCTCTGCAACAATCCCACACATCCAGTCTGCTAAGGTCAGGAGAGCTGGGTCTATCGCTGAGGAGCAGAGTGACCCAGTTATCTCACGCATTTCACTGCACAATGCGAACACATTCCCTGGTTAAAAATAAACCTGAGCAGGATAGTCATGTGGTGAGGGGCCTCTGTCCTCCCCTTCCCCCTCAGCCCCGCCAAAGGAAAAGACAGGCGTGCGGGAGTTTCTGGCCACGGCCAATGTGCTGCGCTGCATGCCTTGGTGACAGGCATGGCTTTTTAACCTCTCCTTGCAACTCCATACCACTGCAAAACACTATCAGAAATGAACATTTAACGAGGGTGGGAGTAACCTTGACAGCAGCTGGAAAGTGCATCAGCATCACAAAGCTGTGATTTCATGTTTGGCAGTAGGGCTGGGCTGTTTGACCCAAGCTAAGCCCTCTCCTTGCTTGCTGCTCCCCCTGTGCACAGCTGGCTGCTCTTACTCGGGCTGTCTCCTAGCACTGGGCCAGCAGAAGCAGCCAGGGAACAGGTCTGGCTGAAAAATAATATGGACAAAAAATCATCTGAGATACCCAGCACAATTTCACTGTGCAGCCACACAGACCACATGCTGCGCAACGAAGGGACAAAGACAGGCAGCCAGGAGCACTGGGCAGCAGAAGCACAGAGGCTGCTTCAGTTCCTTGAGGTCACCACTAGTAGTAACACTTAGGAGTCCCTGCAAGACAGCTATTTCTCACAGGGACCTCGGGCTTGGTCGCTTGGTCCCCTCTGGTTCCATCAACGTGGGAGGAGATGGCACCAGTGCAGTGACTAGACCAGGGGTGCCCCCTCCAGGAGAGGAGAGCTTGAGGTCTCAAAACAACTGTATAAAGCCACACAATTTGGAATAAGTTATCCGCTGGTTTCTAGTTTTTCAGCAAGTATTTAATAATAACTTATTTAAACTCTGGAGGGGCGGGGGGAAAGCTTCTACCTCCCACATGACGTCTAATGTAGGATATTTAACTCTTCAAAGTGTGTAATTATGACAGCAGCATCCTGTGTGCAAGAAAAGGCTGGAAGGCCAGTGTCATCAGGCAGTTGTGAGGAAGGCAGGCATTCCACCTTCACTGCACAGCTCGGGTGGATCAGCAGCTCTGCAGTAAGCAGGACAGTGCATGAAGCAAACTGGAAGGGGATCTCGAGGTGGGCCAAGATAAGCAAGGAGGGACCCAATGTCCCTTCTTTCTCTCATATTTCAAGTCACCCCTGACATTTCCATCCTAGGAACAGGAAAGCGGAAACGCAGCCCTCATACAGTGCAAAGCAAAGCCCTTCCTGGATGTGGCTCCAATGGGTTATTAAAAGCACTAAAAACCCAACTAAACAAAACTGTGTTCAGCTGGAGACTCTGGTGGCTGAAGCTCAAACACAACAACAGGGACTGTCCTAACGTGGTGGCTGTGTGAAAGCAGGGAGAGGCAGTGCCCTCTGACTCCAGACAGGCACTTTGAACATCACACTGAGTGTCAAGGGTTGAGTTTGCTGACAGCATGTTTTATAGCGGCACCAGATCCCTGTTCTGCTGGGCCTCCTTTTTCCTCGCAACAGAAACATCCTACTCCTAAACACATTACGTCCAGCAGACATGGGAGATCCCAGCAACAGGTACCACCTCCCACCCAGGGCCGATGAGGGTATTTGTACCTAGACTGCAAAAGCTTCTAGGGCTCAAGCCCCTACCCAGAGACACAGAGAAGTCAGGAAAAGGCATGGAGCAGCCCATGAGAAGCCAAGCAAGAGGTTGAGAGAAGCCGCAGGCAGCCTACGGGTTATCGATGTCCTCGTGCAGTACGTGCAGGCTGTAGTAGACCTGGCCCTGGAAGTAGCAGCTGTGGAGGTATTCGGTGAGGGATTTTCTCCAGCTCACGTACATCATGTTGCAGATAAACTGGTCGAAGCTTTTTAGCTGGAATGAGGGCAAGGAGACAGACAAGAAGAGATATGTGAGAAGAACAAGCATTTCCCAAAATGAAATAAAAACTAACAGTTTGGACCAGTGATCCATCCCACACGTAGCTATCTAACAGGGCAAGGGCAGATCTAGATCCTTTGTCACCAGGATCATGCCAGGAGCCATAGGCAGCCTTCCCCTCCTCCCCCAAGACACGGGAGCCTCTGGCCTGTCTTACCGTGGAGTTTACCACGATGAGAGTCAGGGCCATGGCAGTCAGTGTTTTGAACCCGGAGAAGTCCTTGTTCCCCAGGACCTCGTAGTACTGACTGGGGATGACGCCGACCTGGTAAATAACCAGCTGCTCTGGAGGGAAGAGGCAAGCACGGGAAGGAAATGAAGGGCAGATGTGACACGGAAAAGAGGGAGCACGGGGGGCAACAGGGAGCAGACGAGGGGTGCAGCCCCCCATCCCAACTACCCCAGGCTCACCCAGCAAGGCGACACAGAGCAGCGTCAGGAACATGAGGGCGCCCGGGGAGGGCCAGCCGGCGAAGAGGACGGCC